AACCACAGCTGCTCCAATCACAACCACTGCTGCTGTCCTAACAACCAGAGCTCCTCTAACCACAACCATAGCTGCTCCATCCACAACCACAGCTGCTACCACAACAACCACAGCAGCTCCAACCACAACCACAGCTGTTCCATCCACAACAACCACTGCTGCACAAACCACAACCACAGCTGCTCCAACCACAACCACCGCTTCTGCAACAACAACCACAGCTGCTCCAACCATAATCTCTGCAGCTGCCACAACAACCACACCTGCCCCAACCACAAACACAGCTGTCCCATCCACAACAACCAGTGCTGCACCAACCACAACCACAGCTGCTCCAAGCACAACCACAGCTTCTCCCACTACAACCACAGCTGTTCAAAACACAAGCACAGCTGTTCACACAACAACCACAGAAGCTCCATCCACAACCACTGCTCCTCCAACCACAACTATAGCTGCTCCAACCTCAACCGCAGCTGCTGCCACAACAACCACAGCTGCACCAACCACAACAACAGCAGCTTTTCCAAAAACAACCACAGCTGCTGCGACAACAACCACTGCTGCACCAACCACAACCACATCTGCTCCAACCACAATCACAGCTGCTCCAACTACAATTACAGCTTTTCAAACCACAACCACAGCTGCTACAAGCACAACCACAGCTGCTCCCACTACAACCACAGCTGTTAAAACCACAAGCACAGCTGTTCACACAACAACCGCAGGAGCTCCATCCACAACCACAGCTGCTCCAACCACAACCACAGCTGTTCCATCCACAACCACAGCTGCTCAAACCACAACCACAGCTGCTCCAATCACAACCGCAGCTGCTGCCACCGCAACCACAACTGCTCCAACCACAACCACAGCTTTTCCAATAACAACCACAGCTGCTGCAACAACAACCACGGCTGCTCCAACTACAACCACAGCTGTTCCACCTTCAACAAACAATGTTGCACCAACCACAAACACAGCTGTTCCAACTATGACCACAGCTTCTCCAACAACAAACGCAGCTACGGCCACAAAGAACACAGCTACTCCAACCACAACTGCTCCAACCACAACTGCAGCTGTTGTCACAACAACCATTGTTGCTCCAACCACAACTATAACTGCTCCAACCATAACTACACCTGCTCCAACAAAAACCACAGCTGCTCCTAAAACCACAGCTTCTCAAACCACAACCACATATGTTCCAGCCACTACCACAAGATCTCCATTAACAACCACAGCCACTGCCACAACAACCACAGCTGCTCCAAACACAACCACAGCTGCTCCCACAACAAGTGCTGCTCCAACCACAACCACAGCTGCTGCCACATCAAGCACTGCTTCTCTAATCACAACCGCAGCTGCTCTAACCACAACCACAGCTGCTTCCAAAACAACCACAGCTGCTGCCACAACAGCCACTGCTGCTCCAACCACAA